TCGGTGGGGCGGAGCCAAACTCGAAAGTGAGGAGCAAGAATTGATTGGCTAGCGCGCGTAATTGTGTAGACGCGGGCTATCGCCGAGCGTAGTATAAATGCGATCTGAAACAATCTGATTGGTTAGCGCGCGTGATGGTGAAAAGTGATGTGAAGAGCGAGCGTTGCAGAAATGCGTGATAATGTGGGATGTTCCCACAAGCTCTAAATTAAACCCTACAGTAGCACAATTCAAAAGGATCAATAACAAGAATGGAAAGATTATACAATATAATTCAACATACCAAACTCCCTAAAGTAGTCTTGGCAGCTCAGTAAACTTACCTGTAGCCAGTTTATAAACAGAATTTCTACAAAACATGTTAGATAAAATGACAAAAACTCATGTTTATACAGCAATATAACATAATAGTGAATTTAAATAAGATCTGTGAAATTACTTACAGACACATAATGTGCATTTATCGCTTTATGTAAAGTACTTTCTGTCAGGTCTCAATATTGTTGAAAGCCAGAACTGCCAAATAATTTTCAACGAACGTCTCCAGTGTCAGAAAAACAAAAAGTTCTGTATAATATTTCATTCGCTGATATATGTCACAGACACATATGACCTACACATAAGGTATATTTCTTTTTTGCTTTGTAAAATATTCCACAAGTCAGATTGATCTTGATACCCTTTTCTGTACGGAAATCTATCACAGAATAGTTTGCCCCAAATCAAGTAATCCAGTAGAAAAAATAGGCGAGCATAAATAAATGAATATTATGGCTCATACTCTTGACTATAAATACAGCATAGAAAATTTCATCCACATATTATTACTGTTTCTACCACCTAAAAACTGAAGTCCTACTAAGTAAAATAGTCACCTTTATAAATAACATGTAGAAATGTCTCCAGTGGGGTACACATGCTTTTCAAAAACATATTTCGCCACTCTGAAGTATTTTTTGGCCATAACATTCATTTAGCGCAGAAATAAATATACTTTTGCCAAGCCCATCACACTACAGCATTAGAACATTGGAAAATGGAGCAGAAGGACATACAGAAACCCTAAGAGTAGAAGGGACAGTGAGTTGAGCATGATAAATGAAACAAGAAGTTATGTCAGTTTTTTATTAATTTCAATATTTTCAATGTTAATTCATCTTTCAACAGAGCGACTGTATATTCCTGTCAATATTCACAACATGTCTTCCATTTTGCTTTATTTACTGCAATGGTCTTCTATGTACATATATTTTCCATTTTCTTTCCTTGAATAATTCTTGACCCACAGAACTGTATGTTCCAGTGCCATGGTAACACAATTCCAAGGGACTATACAGTAAAGAAATTACTTCACCTGTTATGGCAGCATGTTTGTGTGTTAAGTACATTGCTCTATGGCGAATAATTTCGTGGGTATTCTACAGGTGTAAGGGAATTTTGGCATGTCACCTAAAACTAGTGTTTATAAACTGTTTACTTGTTAACTATTTCGGATGAAAATAACAGATATGCATAGTGATGGGACAGCATGCTATTAGAAACACAATTGCAGTCTAAGTTAATATCTCAGTATTTTCTAATGTAAATGAAAACTTTTGGATTTATATTGGCAATGTAACAACAAATAAAATAAAATAAAATAAACGAAAAAACTTTAGAAAATACGGGGAAATAACAATCGTGTTGTTCTAAAATTGTCATATTAAATTCCATCAAGTTTCCTCTAATTGTATTATTATATAAGTTACAACAGCATGCTATAGTTTCCACATGTGATACATCAACAGCAAATACCTATCCACAGAAGTACCATACAAAAATGAAGTGATGTATATAAATACTGTATTAAGTTGAAATAAACTGACCCGCAAAATTTATAAAACAGTGCAGGCCTGCAATTGTATTACTAACAGTAAGTATTCATATTCCTCAGTAACTGTTTGTGTTCACAGCAAGGTTGCTTATAGCAATAACTAACAACAATATATTAACAACAACTGTTTAAAACAAACAGGCCCCTATGATACAGTTTTTTTTTATCTTTAGAATTAACACATTTCTCTTGTGTTTATGATTCTGTCATTCTGCAATATCTGCATCTTGTTTTGGAACCATTCATTTGCCCATTCATCCTAAAGAGACCCTTTCATAGCATTTGTCTAAACTCAGTTACTGAAGGGCTGCAGAAACCAGACATTAGATGATTCAGAAAAATATGAATGCAATGTCGAAGGTAACAGAAAGCTTAACTTAGTTTTGATTTATCACAGTAAAAATTTCTTGTTTTGATGAAAAATATTTAATGCATTTTTTAACAAATTACAGGCTAATTTAAGATTAAAATAAAATTGTTTTACCAGTTTTTCATTTTCAATTTAAAATATTCGAAATCTAATTCAAGAAGTGGAAACTTATTGTCATGTGGGATTTAAAATTATAAATTGTTGTGCAAGGTAGAAAGTTATCTATAGTGTATTTTATTGTACCTCAGATGTTTCCAGAAAGAAGTTTCAGTTGTTTTGGTTTGTTACTAGATGATGAGCAACTGGACTTATATCCAGTCACATCATAATACATTAAAAATCAAATGAAATTCAATGAATAAATGAATGCAATATTACAACTACTCAAAAGAATTTCAATATGAACATTATGTTTCTTTGTCTTTGAAATTAGTTCCTTTTGAAAGTTTCATTTTCCCACATTTATGAATTACATTTTGACACAATATGTACTTAGTTTCTGTTTATGTACATTTAAAACTAGCAACTACATTAATTTCCCTGTCTTGTAATTTTGGCTATGTTAATTAACTTCCATGTACCTATCTACAATTATGTTAAGAATTATACATGTGCAAACTTTATTCGTGCTGAAGTGTCTCCAAACCAATAAAAGCTTGACTTTTGCAGAAGTGAAACTGTTCCATGTTGCTAATTGTTCTTATGACTATTTTTAATTATTCATTAATTTTTGTAATAGTACGATATATAAGTATCCTGCAATTTGTGTGAAGCAAGGGGTGGGCGATATGCTACAAGTAATTAGATGCTGCCAACCTGGAAGTATTGGACTCACCTTCCTCCCTCCCTCCCTCCCATCCTTCCTCATAAAAATCATAAGGTGGAGAGAAGCATCGGTTTATTAATTGGAATGCTAGAGGCAGTTTGTGTCAATTCGTGTCAATGAAGGAAAATAATATAAGCTTCCTTCTAATCTGAAAAGGATGGGAATTCATTCTCATAATTTCACAACTCAGAAGCTTTATCTTTACAATTTGGTAGGAAGAATATGTTCTTATTTTCTTAGAAATGGAAGCATGAGAGATGCCATAATAACCAACTTACGGCCCACATTTAATTTTAACTTAATCACCTTTTATATTTCTTACTACGAATCTTGGGATAAAATTCTGATAGAAAGTTGAAGCCACAATGTAGTAAATATTATACACTTTAGTACATATTTTGTGTTATCAGAAGTTGTGTCAAAGGACATGCCACATGATCTCCAAGGGAGAGAGAGATAGGGAAAGACTTTTGTCTTATATATCTTTAGATAAGGAAAATCACATTAGGTGATTAGGTGATCATATTAACCCATCATAATGGTGTTGTGTTTGAAATGTTTCCTTACATCTGAGTTAGACAGTCAGCCATGACAGGGGCATTTTATAACCTAGTTTTACAGAAATAAACTAAGAAATGAATATACATAATTCTTATCATTAAGCTATTCATCTGTGTCATTCATCATGAAACAATATGTCGTTGTTGGAAATTTCAGTTTAATTAAATAAACACACATCAACACATCTGACTTCTCATTTCTTCTTGTAATACCGATGTCCATAACAGCTCAACAAGAGTCTACAAAAATCTCAATATCAATGTAAATAATTTTGTAACATATCCATTATATTCTGATTTCCAGTGTTTTAAATACAGATCTTGACACCACGGCCTCTTTGAATAATTAAGACACTACATCACTGGTAATAAGATTACCGGAATAAGGTGTGAAATCGCTGTATGAATGGCACTCCCCATTATTTTCTACAAGTGTGTGCTGTATGAAAACATTTACTATAGCTCTTCCTTCATTTAAATAGAAGAATTAACAATTAGGTACCTTAACGTTATCAAGGAGGATGTGATGTCATGCAGTGTTGTCAATACTTCACCAAGAAAACATGTCAATCCTGTACTCACTTTGATTTCTTAGCTAATACAAAGCAGTAACGATTTTAATAATGTATTTACAAATAAATACTGAAAGAGGAAATGGCTACCTTAAATAACAATAACACATGTGTACTTTAGCTGTCCTTACTGAAATACTAACGGTAGTTCAACTCTGTTTAACTTTTGTTTCAAAAATGCTACCTCCTTTTTTCTTTCAATATGAACAGCAGCGCACTTAATTTTGGAATAGAAATTAACAGGTATATACAATTTCTTATGGGAGGTCACTGCATGGAATAATACTAAAAATGAGGATTGGAAATGGCTGATTACATCATGGGGTAGTCTATCACAATGTTACCTTCCTTGGTGGAGTGGTTCAGTCTACAATTTTTGGAACACATGTACGGAATTATTCGTACTATACGAGAATCAGTTTGGATAAGGCTGAATTCAGGGGAAGCACTAAGTGTATTGTAGTTGCTTTAAGACATTATGCTAATTTTAAAAAATGCAAAATTTGTAACCTGAACGAGATAATCAAAAAGCATTAAACATACCACAGGTAATTTTGTACATCAAAATAATTATATTTTCATATAGATTTACATATCAGTGCAATCTTTTCAATGCGAATTAAAATTTCATCACAGGTTACAATAACATATCAGATTTAAGACAATACAGTTCAGGTCTTCCCCACATCGGATTTATCGTTACAAAACACCATGAGCCCGGGTGTACATGGACCACTTATTAAAGTAATATTATCACTTGTTCATATTTTAAAGGACTTGTGACAAATCAATATGTTATGGTCAACAGAATGAGGTTTTCATCACATAAAATGTACATACAATGCACAGAGAGTGAATGGAGAAGTACATGGAGGTAGGCCTAGGCCCACTGGGGCTGTAGTGCCAAGGAAAAAAAAACGCAGAGCGAAAGACCAATTCAGACGTATAGAGAACAATTTAGAGAAAAATATCTCAGGAGATTGCAGTTTGTCACGTATTTACATCTTTATTTATGCACTGTTAATTTTATGATGGTTTCAGTAGTTCAGACCATATGGTTTCTTACAAACGCCTATTATATACTCTTAATGAAATCAATTTGCTTTGTGATGATATCAGAGGCAAATGTAATTGTGGTTTGTTAAGCACAACAATTCACTGAGAGATTGTGTTCATTATTTTGGTACAGTTACACTGACATAATCAGTAAAGCTGACACATACAACTATAAATTGTATTCTTTGAAATATATCAGTTAGTTACTGATTTGTGTAAGCTCTTGACTCATAGATATCAAACATGGTCACTTGACTGAGCATGCACATAAATGTCAGTAGTATTTAGTTCATTGAAATACATTGTCAAATCAGCAGAAAGTGATAATATTACTTAATAATCCATAGGGTGACATTGCCACTCTACAGATTTATGCCTCTACATGGCGAGTTCTACAGATGTACTATCTACAGCAAAAACATAAATCGACAGCATGAAGAAACATTGACTGTTAATACATCAAGAGTGAAAACACTTAAAATAGTTAAACCTAGGGCTATATGTAAATAAATCTAAATGTGCACCTTGTACAATGTTACTATGGTCTAAGAACCATATTTAGGCATAACCTACAATACTTAGAATTTATGATACATGGGTTGGCATTTCAGGTGAGATCTACATTGCAAGGCTTCTGTCTATATGAAATGTGGTGTAATATTTTTCGCTTCTTTTATCAACTAACTTTTGTCGAATATAAATTAGCACATAGACATTTAAAACTATTGTATAGTGTATCAGACACTGCATAGTATATTTTATGTGCACTCATAAAATTTGAAAGTGACGTGCTAAAAGAAAACTATACATAAAGAAATAGAGAAATAATCTGCATGGGAACATTTACATAGTGTCTCTTTGGATATTTGGAATGGTTTGTACTTTCTGAAGAGCCTTGACTTATAAAACATACTACGCAGAATATACTGTAACTATGACATGGAAACATTATGCTGAATAATTACACTTTTTATAGTCATTGTGGTTGGCATGTTAAAAGTTTAACCTTGTTTCAATTAATCAATAAAAGAAATTTTTGCACCAGTCTGCATGTCAGGATAACATACAGATTATACAGAGTTCTGAAATGAGCATTATTTAATGAACTGCAAATGCACTGACAAGCATGTCTTCTTTCTTTGTGGGTTAAGCCTTCACTATGGTTCTTTCAGCTGTAAGTATTACTTATGAACTGCAGACCATTCAAATAATGCATATTGCAAGTTCTTGAACAGAAATTTAGCAAACTACATCCTCCTTTTAATCTTTGGACAGATGAATAAAATCTTGATATAAATCCCACAATATTGTTTCAGTTCTTTCTAAATGGCTATATTTAATAGAACCATTTACAATAGCAACGAATGTTTCCAAAACTTAACTCTTAAGAGTGACAAAAATGAACTACTTGGAATATTCAGTCTCCTCAGAAAAAGTCCAGAAGGCCTCTGCCTTATAAGAAATAAAGCACTAAAACCTGCAATATGCATGAAAACTTCTCAGAAGACACATATATTCTGTAAAATTCATCTAGTGTAAATGTTACACCATAAACTAAACTAAGCAGAGGTTCAAAGATCTTTCATTTAAATCAGAAGCTCAGAATCTCTCTACAAATACTTCACATAATTTGGGCATGTATTTCATTTAAATGCTTTAATCATTTGTTCTGATTAAGACATTAACCCATGTGTTAATATCAAATGGTTTCCAAGAAAACAGGTTACTTTCCAAACTGAAGGGAATTCAGAAAACTAAGTCTTGTAAACAGAAAACACATTATCTCATCTAGGCGTTCATCCATGGTCATATTGATCCACCCAAATTCCAAGCTTTTAATTTACACAGACAAAGTTATCAGAAACACTTCTATATATCATACACTACTAATGACATTTAGTGAAGGTTAAGAGCAATTACAATTAATATAGCATCTGAAAGTGAAGATCACAAGTTTATTTTATTTTGCTGTTGAATCCATTAATATATTACACTTAACTAAAACACTTCTGAATGTTTTCTTAACAAAATATATACTACATATATATATTGAAATATACTAAGCTATGCTAATATTTCAGATACTTGCATTACAGGGTATAACACATTTTGCAAAATGCTTAAGAAAATCATATTACCAAACAACTATGCTGTAATTAAAGGGAGTACCAGTGTGTATTAATTTCATCTCCAAATTCATATTTCTACAGACCAATTAAAAAAATGTAATAAATTATTAGGTACTATTGGTAAGTTTAAAAATTTCTGATAGTTATCAGAATGTTAACTGTAGTTCTTTTTATTAAAATTATGATATATATAGTTTATTGACACATGTAAGCAAGAAGAAGACATATCTTAAAGTCTTTCCATTTTAATTTTCTCATCTCATTTAAAATTTCCCCTCAGTTATCATGCATCCTATATTTTTTCAACCTCTTATCTTTATCAGTAGTTAATATCCACCTTCATTTGTTCAGAATGCATAATCAGTTAACTGTATGACACATGGGAAGACCGATAATGAAAATCAGTTAGCACAAATTTTGTTCAATAGCCCATATTTTCATATGGCTTACATACCTTTTTCACACATAATATACTATATGTATTATTCTGGTCAGGATCACTTTTCATTATGTGATTTAAATTTAACATACCAACATCATAATGGAGAAAAATGGTCTGAGCAAATTGAAGGTGGTGTATAAATAGACCTTAATTAGGTATAAGAGCATTCTGTAATCCTTCAGTAGCATTTTTTGTTAACATTATTCTGCTATCAAGAGGTCAATTTTCTTTTTCCCTAATACTGATTCTACTTGCCTATAAAAGTGAGGGGAAAGTCGAAACAGTATATTTCTGGTAGAGTTTTACTAAAGTATATAGATATTATAGCTGGAACATGGAACTGATAATTTAACTTGTCAACTAATTTACAAATTGGCTGAATAGCTTATAAATTACCACAGCGAATGCTGATTTATAAAATAATAACTGAAAAAACTTTTCACATTAAAATCCTATTAAAGTTTCAGAACAAGAGACAAGCAATATGCAAGTGAGCAAGACCCAATAATAAATATTGTGTGCATTTGTATGCACATGGAAACAAATAAAGTCTCACATAAAAGATATATTACATCAATAGCATCACAATTAGTACATCAGAAACATCTGCTGGCTGTGTCAGGGAGCTGCCGAGCAAGGAAGAAGAGGAAGAATATGCAACAACAAGAAAGGTTAGGTTACAGACAATTTCAAACTCAAAATTCTCCCATTTAGTATGAGAGTTCTGTATACATCAAGTCATATATTACTAGAGTTTCAAAGTGACAATCCAATAGTAATGTTAAAATATGTAAGTCTGATGCAACATACGTATGCATTGAACTTGTTTAGGTGACATAATTTGGCTCATGCTGTAATATTAAATTAGTCACAGAAATGATGAACATATCTAGGAAAACAATATGTGGAAAGGCTCTTCCTAGGTAATTTGGACAAATATATTACAAAAGAAATAGACACAATGAAATTGTCTTATTTGGTAAAATTCTGATCAAATTATGGAGTCATGTGCAGAGAGGGTAGGAAGGGAAATTACAGAGATACATTCATGAAAAGGAATTTGGATGATTCCAACCGGCCATGGCAGGTCAGAGTTCCTTTTCTCTCTAAAATATGGTGGTACTTAGTGGGAATTAATTCTAGGTGCTACAAAGTATTACGTATATTTCACTTACAAAAGTTAATTCTATTCATTCATTTTATAACAAAAACAACTAACTTAACATAATCAACAGGGAATTTTATTTACAAAAGGCTTAATACTGTTCAGCTAACTAACAGAAGGAGCCACCATTTACAGTCTAGCAGAATAAAACTCTTTTAAGGACATGACCATATTACTTTTAACATGTTCTCCCTTGTTACAGTTGTGTGTTTGTTGAAAACGTTATCGTATAAAACTTCCATGCAAATGTTTATAACTGAAGGTACAAAAATGTGATACATAAACTTCCATCCTTTCACACTTTTACACAAAAGATATCATACATATTTTGAAAGTGTAGAGTTGCTATGTCGAGGTGCTGGTGAAGTCTTCTTGTCACATTCTTGTAGCTTTATAAAACCTTACAAAAGAAATTAAAAATTTTAAAATGTTCTCCATTTCTTAACAACAAACCTGTTAAAACATATTTGAGCTTTTATTTAATACTAATATTGTATTATCATCTTTTTTGACCTAAAGTAAGAACATACAAATGTCTTAAGTCATCAAAATTTACAATTCTGTACAAAGAAGTGAAGTTAATATTTTTCTTCTTCATCCTCGTCTTCAGCTCTAACTTACAATTTTACATTATATTAGCATTATTTCTACAAACCACAATAGAAACTTATGCACTGTTGTTTATGTATCTTCCATATTATATATACTTTGATAATGCTACAAAAACTAACAGCTGGCAAGCATGGTTATTTAGTAAATGTAAATGTAAATTATTTACTCTTCAAATTTTAATATTACTTATTATTGTAGTTGGGAACTACTATATATATCGCAGTCTCTTGTTAAATCAAATTAATTCATTTTACAAAAATGATCGTGAACAGGCTTTACATAACTGAGTTTTTCATTTCAACTGTTTATTTGCTGCCATGTTAGCATGTATCATTACATATTGATCCTTCACTATTAACTCACTGGAGAACACATTTACTCTCGATTGTAGACTTGAGCTCGCTCACTTGTGTCTCTATTGAGTTCTTCAATTCTGAAAGAAAGTATTTTTCAGGTTATTGAGGGTATCAGAATGTAAAAGGCTAGTTTGGCGCAAGGCACTGGAGAAGTGTTGCCATATGCTGCTATTCCTGAAATGATAAATTAATTTGTAAGTTGGTTACATCATGGATATAACCTTTATGTAACCTTGTATGAAGAAAATATTTATTAATCTGTTCCAAATCAATGAGCCCAAATTATAAATATATACAAATAATACACAGCAAAAACAAACATGTGATAATGCTGTCCTTCATGCACTGACAAGGACAGCATGCTTAACGCCAGTGATGGTGGTGGTGGTGGTGGTGGTGGTGATGATGATGATGATGATGTGTAAAGTTAATTTTCTTTATAATCACTGTATGGACATGTCCTATATCTCACTTGTATTGTGGATCCATGGAACGAAAAATAAATGAATGAATGAATGAATGTATTTATGTGTTTTGCATTTTGTTATGTATATCAACTAGTATATATTTTTAATCCAGCTATCACAATAAATTCACTTATAAATAAACAACTGCTGGCACAAGTATATCAATGAAATCAGTGTCTTACTTATTAATAATAAACACTAACGTACAGTGACATGTATTCTAACATTTGAAACGTCTGATGATGGTCACCGCATGATCAAAATATGTAGCATGTAATAATAAAAAATAAAAACCGATTTCACCCATAAAGTCATGTCTTCTGTTTTTTACTTATAAGAGAATTGGGTGTGACAGATAGATTAAAAATACATAAAGATAATTTTGTTAGAATGTGGCAGCAGAGTATTAATTTCTAGAATGAATACAAATGAGAAGGTATTAGGAAAAATTCAATTGTTCATAATGCAGCTGCACAGTGATGAACAACATGTGTAAGCCTGTAAACCTTGGGACCACATTTTTTTTAAGAATATGTAAATAAGAGAGACTTTTACACAATTCTCCTAAAGCTTGATACAGGACAATATTGTAACATTATGACTGAAGAGAAGAGAAGGAGATTGGTGTGAGATGGTTGCCAGCAAGTGAGGAATGGGAATCCACCAGCCTGTGAGGACATGAACCCAGGAACAGAAAAATGTTCACTGTTGGAACATGTTACCAGGCAGCATAGTGCAGACCATGACTGGGAACACTCGTCTGTGTGTGATAGTGATTTGTGAAGTGTAGTCATGAAAGTCGGGAGTCTTGAGAAGGCAAAGTTGAGATATGCAACAGCCAGTGAGGACATGAAGGTGTGGAACATGTAAACAGAGGGAGCTACATTATTGAAAGCCATTACCAGATAATTGGCGAGGACACAGCAGACTGAGAAGACTCAGTGTGTGCTGTAGGTTTTGTTAAGTGTGTAGACCCATGAAACTACTGCTTATATCTCAGGAGAAAGACCTCTTTATTTTAAATAAATTTTACTAATTAATGATTGTAATTTTTATTACTACAAACATATTTAGAATATGAACATTCCAAGAATTTAGAATTGCTAATTAGAATACAGATGATCAATTTTTATCAATGGATGTTATAAACTCTCATTTATGACAATTATTTGAAATTACAGAACTTGAACCAACAATAAAGAATGAAGAATTCAACATTAGAGCAGTGGAACACTTTGGGGAAAAATAGTGTTAACGTTTTCATAAAATTATAAATTTTTGATGCGGCTTTTGATTACAACAAAGTATGTGATGTAAGAAGTAAGGCATAGTGCTTAAAATAAACTGTAAACTTCCAGTTCTGTTTCTTAAATTATTTTGTTCCTTGCAACCAGTCACATATTCTGCAGACAAATTCTTCTTATTATTGCTAAATGTGCTGTGGTGATTTGTGAAGTATGGAGATCAGTGGCAGTGCTTTAATTACTTGTAGTTTCACGTGGTGTCCATAAGTGGTCAATAAATCCATTCACCAATCCAAAACTCCATCTATAGGCACCCCTAGTATATCAAAACATTTAGTATTTTCACAGATCTACTTGTAGTATATTTTGGTTTAACTGAAATTTAAAGAAGGCTTTCTCACTGTTAGTGCTTGCACTTTGTATATAATGCGTAATTTTGGCTTTCAGGGTTTAACCACATTGTGTTTTAGTTGTTCTACTGTTTTGGTATGCATTGCAGTTATTTACATGATGAATGAAACTGAAGGTGTTGAAATGAATGTAAGGGAGCATGTTTGAAGTGTGGTGCTATTCAATAGGAAGAAAACCGTGGCTCAAGACATAAGTGTCACAATGGGAGTAAGGGTGGGGAGTGGACTGTGGTGCTTTCTACAGCCTCGTGCATACTTCAACTGTAGGGCCCATATATTGGTCTGCACCCTCCAACTATCCCATTTACACTGAACATGGAGACTGCAGTGTAGCCTCAAACACAGGAACAGCTTCAAAACACAACACTGCTACTCCACAAAAGCTGAAATTACACATTAAATGAAGGCATGGTTACATCTTTGGCAGATGGACTATAAGAGGATGTGATAATTACAATTGGCCTTATGCCATAAAATGGTCCTTACTGATTTCTAATTAGGTAACATTAAGCTTGCATTAACCTTTATTGCTGGAACAAGATCCAAACAGGGCAGCCAATGGAGTTATCTTAGCTATAGGGCAAAGTGTTAGTGTTTTCTGTACTACTTTGTCTTCTGTCCATAGTGGCTCAAATTCAAGCTTATTCAGTTGTTAGTAATTTGAAACTATATGCAGTTACATATCAACTAAGAAGCAAAGCTAAGGTTAGTGTAAGGCAGTTGGCTGATACATTGCAGTCCTCTCCTGGATTCCAATATCATTACAGCTGTAAGTACAATAAAATAAATGTGACTACAGTAATATGATATTACATATTTTCCTGAGTACAATGTGCATATTTTTCCACCAAATATTTCGTGAAAACAATATTTTTGTAAAAGTTCAATTATGCTAAATAATAATTCCATGAAACAGAGATCTTCTTGAGAAATTAACAGTTGCTCATCTATCCGAAGAGTTCCCCATCTTTTCTGGAAATTGAAGTTCTTTACCACATTGATATTTTGAGCCAGATTAATCCAGTCCACATTCTGTTTTAAGAACTGTTTTAATATTAGCTTCCCATCTATGCCTAGGTTTAATAATAATGTTAGGTAGTTTATTAGAAGCTCCACAGAAAATGTTGTTCTTTTAAATTACTTTTCTTCTATACTGTGAACATTATAATTGCATGTGTAGTATGGATGTCATTTTCATTTGACTTAAAAATGGACTTTTTTTATCTATATGTCAACAAGTATCAACAAAATGAGCAAAATTTCAAGATTCATACAACAGTTGTGTAACACATCCATAGTTATGCTGAAATATTGTGGGGAAATCTATAAAAGTTAAGTTTTTAACTCAGGATTTACATGGCTGGCTACCCAAGAAGATTTTAGCATATCAGTCCCCATGAAAGTGTATAATCTTACATGTCCACGGTTGTTTACTCTATTTATAAAATATTTATACAAGCCATTTGCAAACTTTTCTCTTCCTTCAATATAATCTTTGAAAATTGGAGTGCATATTATATTCAAGAAAACAGTATTATTCACATGAGAAACCTATAGCTGACTGCAACGCTGTACTCACATAGATCATATCTATTTTGTTCTAGCACTGTTATATTCATAGCTTATTTGACATGTTAGCAATAGCAAAGCGACAATGACATGATTATATCGTGAGAACAATGACAAATGACTTGCATTGGCTCCTGTCTGAGCCAATTCAAGGTTTGCTTTTACAATCAGATCCTTAGTGTTTCTCGCAGCATGGAATATATGGCTTTTTGGCAATAATATAACATAACACAGCAGAAATGCTGGATATTTTTTATAAAGCTGTCTTGTACATAGAATTTAAAGGATTAATTGAAAGAACATCAACAAATATTTGTGGTTTTTCAAACTGCACAACAGTTGAAGGAATAGATAAGAACAAGCAATTCTCTTCTCTGCATGTCTGATCCTTAATAGCTGATTATAAATATATGTAGGGTAATGAATTTTCACTTGTCCAGCCGTGTAACTGAATGAAAATACTGTGTCATAATCTAAACAAGGTATGATTGATGTTATAAATGCATTAAGACTATGATATGATATGATATGATATGAAACATGTTCAAATGTAAAAACCAATGGGGCCATGCCATAGCTCAGGTGGTTAGTTGGCAGTTTCCTTCTTGGGTTAGGTCATGTGGGACTTGTGGTGGACAGTGCAGCACTAGGTTGTCTCTTCTGTGAGGACTTGTTTCCCCTGGCAATTCTGATTTTGTAAACTGTGCCACATTATTCATTATCATCCTATGATCAACACTATACAGAGTAAATTGTGATAGCATAATTAAATAACTAACTACAAAATTGCAGACTGGGGGTTTGGGCAGCTTTGGTATGTTTCATCATTTTTATAAATAAGTTACATATGTTTCTGGCAGTATTTAAAATGTTTACATTTTCGATGACGTATGAAAGAATTAATGTTTTAGTAAATATTCCATTTTTTTCTTAGCCAAAACATGAACGAAAAAAGTCCAGCTTTGACAGCATAATCCTGAGGCTGGGTTTCAAAGGATCTGACAGTTATGGCACCACTATCATTGTTGCAGACGATACAGTCAAGGCAAGGCGTGACGTCATCAGGAGTAGTGCAGCAGCAATGCAACAAACCAGATTCCTCATTTCACCTTCCACTGTTGTAAATGAAACAGGGATATATTAGTAATTTATTAATGTTTTGTAATACTGATATGTGATATGCTTCAATTTAAAGTGCGCAACAAGAATAAAAATTATGAACAATGTGAATCCCGCTCAGTGATTTATTTCTTTATTTCTTAAAACAATTTATATTTAATATATAATTTATTTTATATGGCCTTAATTGAAAATGCAGCTTGTGGTCTACAAGGAAAATCCTTGTGCGAACATTACGGTTTCAAGTGTAATTACAACACTGGTTAAACCTGAAAAATTCTGTATATTGTACACTAGCTACATACAGCACATATTCTGTAGAAGAGCGGTTTTCAATCCTTCATTTAATGTGACCTTTCTTGAACAAATATAAATTTCCAACCCCACTATGACCAGACGGATTATATCACCCACTTTGATTATTCTTTTTGAACTTCTGAATGAGAATGCCTACTCATTTCCAAAGAAAAGAAAACATTTCTTTTTCTTTACAGTAGGAGTAAGAAAAACATAATTTTCTTTACTTATTTGTAATGGAATAAGATTCATGCAAGACTCCATAAGTTTCTCTTAGTATCCGAAGAGGGAATCAGCTGTCGATGTGACATATGTTTTGTCTAATGGATTATTGATGAGATCTTATTGCTTGAAGACAAAATTCCAAACTAAAAGTGAATGACTGGAATGATTTTGGTAAACTTTACTTAGTAAAAAAACAGTCCAACAAACTATGGTTGCATGGTTTGTACACCTTTATATTTGGGAAGTCACAGATTCAAAACCTGACCAAGAGACAAACTCATTTAACTGAAAATTTTCATGGGTTTCCAGAGTCCTCCATAATGCTGCCTCAAAACTAGGTTAAGACCACTTCCTTTCAAATCCCTCCAATTCATTATTCAATAATCATCCTACAATCAATTTTATAGAAACCTTAGCAATTAAGAACACCATTACATAAGTAAAGTAAATAAATATATACATCATAAATAGTACAGCTAATAACCTAGGCATCAGTAATGATCTTCTTACTGTACTATTAAAGATTTTCAATTAAACTCTTAACACAGACTCCTGCTTCAAAGAATTTTTCTTAACATTCTATTACAAATTGTGCAGTATATGTTCTTATAATAGGTATCATACTGAAAGTTTAAATCTTGAATAAGACAGTCAACAATGCTGAGATGAGGTTATGTTCCAGTTTGTTTCATTGTCTGCTTATAGGCTATGGCTTCTCAGTTTCACTGGAATGGGGAAAAATAAACCTTAGGCAGGAGAACTCTTCTGTTGACATGCTATGACATACCAAAGTAGTGGAACTGAATCCCTTTCGCAAAGCTGATAGCCACTCTGCCCCCTCCAAAGAAAATCAGAGACTAGATCCTGAAAGTTCATCCTTCCAATGAAGCATATCATGAACCAGATGAACAGAATTCACGTGTTCACATACTGTTTGTTTAGAAGCCACTTTAACTTTATTCTCAAATCAATGCCTACATCTCTCAATTGGTCCCTTTCCATTTGGTTTCGAAACTAAAATTTTGTATGCATTTCTTGCTTTCCCCATGGTGCTACATGTTCTGCCAATCTCATCTTCCTTCATTTGACATCCATAATACCAGGTGAAAAGTTGCAATTATGCCGCCTTCTAGAACTCCTCGTTATTTCCCTCTTTTAGGGACAAATGCTCTCTGTACTACCATGGTCTCAGTCATCTTCTATAGGTTATGTTCTTCCCTTAGTGGGCGACAGAAAGAATTAAAAACTGAATTCATTGAGATATTTCCAGATAGAGCGCAAAAGTGTTAAACTCTATAGAAGCTCTCCTTGCGGTGTGATTGAATATAAGGCGCAGTAAAGTTTCTGGAACAAGTAAAACTGCATGTCGTATTTGAGCCAATACAGTTGGTAGGAAACTATGGAAGCATAGCCCCGTGCGCCCAATCCCGGACGAATCGCCTGATGCAGGGTGGGATGAGGTATTGTGCGGGGTGCGTCCTGAACCTTTCTTACTCGTAAACTCGTCCTCTTCTTCTGCTTCCGCCTCTCGCGCCAACTCTTCAGGAGTCTTCTTCTTCCGCATCAGAGGATTCGGCTCCTCCTGAGGCATCTGTTCCTGCACCTCTTCTTTCTTCTTTATATTGTACTGCGAACACAAGATGTCGTGTCAGTCGCTCTGCTTCTTCTTCCGGAACAATAGACAACATGTACAACATATCTTTTGCATGACGCGCACAGCAGTGCAGTTGATGGAGGCACTACGCTACGAGCAGGAAGGTCGCGGCTTCGATTCTCGATAAGGTCATTGGATTTTTCAATTTACCTGATCCTTCCAGCCGCACCATGGCCCCGGGGTCGACTCAGCCTCTAATAAAAGTGAGTACCATTAAACTTGCTAGGGGGTAAAGGGCGGCCGGCCAGTGCGTAAAGCTGACAACCTTACCGCTATCTGCAGGCCGACTGTCTAGCGAAAATGTGGGAGCCTCGACGTCTCCACGGCCTGTTACAGGGATAGCTTTACCTTTGTGTTTTACACAACTAACAAACAACGAGATCCTGGGGGCAAAGTCAGGAAGTACAGCTACTTAATCTGGCGTGGAAATGACAACAGCCAATTCAAGAAACCGTGTCATGGAGACACAACCAACGAAAGCTGTGTGGAAGAAATGTCACTATGTAATTTAATTGGCCGAATCACAGTGATGAACCACTCAGTGTGCCGTGCAAGGAATGACATAATCTGATTTAAGAAACCGGGCCACTGTGATGTGATCGTGGAATGAGCTCTGAACGAAAGCCTCAACGCCAAAATTTTGTTACAGCTAGTTTCAGTATTCACAGACTGTGTGTGCTTTCAGTATCTTACCTCTGACGTGCATCATGTCTAACATCAAAGAGTAACTGAATGAATCAACAAATCAATTCACAAATCAATCACACATGTTTTCTTTACAATAGGTCTTAACGTATTTAATGATATTCTAAACTCACAGGAGAAATTATGAAAGGTATAATTTTAAGTTGGAAATATTAAGGAGTTCTAGGTATAACTTATGACCTGTACTTACCTTCAGTGCTTCCATCCGCATATCTGGAACTTTCCGAACGTGTTTCTAACAGTTCCTGCATTAGTAATATTTGGAACTTTCAGAACACAAAACTTCCAAAAAATGTACGAGCATATTTTAAGCTTGCTTGAATACTAGAATACAAATGCTTAGTTACAACAAAACATAAGTTATCGTTGTCAGCGGATACAGTAAATATTCAAACACAGACCTATATAAAATTCCTGTAACCTTAACATTTCGGAAGAGGAAAAAAGAAAGAGAGAGAGAGAGAGACTGAAATCAGTCATATGCACTTTGATATATTAAAATAAATGTACGTGAAATGTGGCAGATTCTATGTAGGATCGAGTGCATCTGAAAATCTAGTTTCAATTCACTATCGCGCTGAGAATGATGCTTTTGAAATTCACGCAAAAGAAATGTCAAAATACAGAGACCGCAAAGGGTTAAAGAATTCTTATTTCACCGGGAACATTTTTGTAGCAAGTTAATTTTTCGAATTACGTTCTTCTGGGATGTGACACCGCAGATAGGTACCAATATTTCGAAGAAACATACTGCCTCCATCTTCAGGGTTGAAAGTAGAGGAAGAAAATTAATAACAAATGCTGGTACGTATCTAACAAACTACAGGGCGTCACATCTCAGAGGAGTGTAGTCTCACTGTTCAGCGCCGTGAGAACATTTATCCAAACACAGTGCAGTCTTGTCCAACGCGAATTTGTTTACGCAGGCGCAGAGCAAGGGATGTTTGCCAAACGCGGAAAGTGTGGCTAGACTGAGACTGCGAAACTTGCCACTGTACACGCCAATACACGCTCTACTGGTTTCCGCTCTCCCTCTCACCACCCCTTCTTATGCCTTTGTTTTTGTTTATTATGTTTCTCTTTATTATCGGGGGGGGGGGTTGGTAAAGAGTTAACTCGTCAGGGACATCGGCGATCATGACTGAGGTTCTCCGTGCTTTTCTTCAGTCCCTCCAGATAGCTACTGAGATAGTACCTCGATTAGGCCATAACCACTCCCTTCCAAATGCTTTCCAATTCATCTCTCCTCTGTCACCCTTTCATTCGACGCTATGCAGTATAACAACTGGCAGCGTCCTGAAGTAACCCATAAAAAACACGTCTTTACTTTAGCACTGTTTTTAAACCTGTATTTTTTAGGTTTCCCAAGCGCACACGCCCCTTTCCCCCCAGAGAAAGGGCAGCAGAACTCTCCGAGGGGACAGAGCACAATGTGCAACAGTAGCACGAAGTTTATTCGGGGTATGGAGAGACAGGAAGATTTCTGTTGCATACTTGGACAACGTGTCAGACACTAAGTCGCACTAAGATAGTGCGTTTCACTGGTTTCACTAACACTCTTTGCTTCTTCGTTCAAATGTAACTCAAGTTCCCATGGTTTGTTACTAACTTTCAGAGCGTAAGGCCACGTATTTCACGTATTACTAAAATGCGGTGTTTGCATCCTGGAAGGGTTAAGGTTTCCCTCTATTTCCATGCACCAATTTCCTTCAATTTAACTTCAGGCGAGAACTTGCCGCTCAAAAGCAGGAAGAACAGAAATTGCAACGCTTTGAACCTACCGAAGATTGAAGCAAGACGAGCCGCACGTTACATAATGAAATCTTCGTGTTCTTACACAGAACACACATAACTGTGTTAGGACTGAGAAATGTTGGAGGATAGGATGGGATGAGCATGCAGCACGGATGGAACACAAAGAAATCACAGCAGTTTTTTTCTTTTTTGGGGGGGGAGGGGAGAAGTAATTTGGAAGACCGAGAAGGAGATGGAAGGACGGTACTGAGTCTTATGGATATGTTTACATTGTGGGCCTTTGCATTACGACGCCGTGTAGTCTCGAAGGAGAACACTGTTTCCATAATTTACACCGAAAATGTGGATGTTATGAACTCCGGATACCATGATCCAAATATGGAAACCCTGGAAACCTGAAATCCCGTTTATGGAAATATGTTATGGGGATTGGACGTGGCTTGAACCAGCCGAGATTTTGAAATCAGCAGACTGAGTTGGACTTTCGGGTAAGCGATAATGGTTCGCAGTCGTAATAAAACGAGGAAATATAAAACTGAATTAAGAAAATATGTATTAAATCATCGCATTTCCTCGTAGACACCAGAACCATTTGAATTCCTGCAAAATATATGCCATTTTACGCTTTGAAATATTTATATGAAACTTCTCTGTTTTATTTTTCTTTTCGCGAATTCTGCATTCGTGTTTCCATTAATATTAACTTTATATCACGTTGTCAGAACAACACGCTTAATTTCGTTCATTCACTTCCAAAATTTATAAACTGGAATTTAACTGAAGTTTGTGTACAATTTTACGTAATGTTGCCCCTCGTTATGAGACGGTTATACAGTTGCCCTGAACAAGGATGAAAGCTGTACTCGACGTGCTCCTGCTTTTCCTGTTCCTTTAGTAACGATGTCAGTTATGTAATGTTTATCAACGTTGCTGTGATTCAATTACCTCCACATTTCTTAGTACCGTAACGAGATCTAGCAGTACTCTGTAGAATTACCCTATTCAAGGCGCGTTTTCTTCCCTTCAAGCAAATGTATGGAAATTAGTTGCGCTCATATCACTCACTTTTTCTGAACAAGAAGACTGACAAATGTTTTCATTTTAAAACTTTTTTTTTTTCATGCTTTTCCTGTTTTGTTTTATTTACAAAAAGGTCAGCAGCGCGATATGAACTCTTCCCCGTTGAACAAAACACATCGAAACCCAAACCGCAAACATTAAAACTTGTTCTAATAAAGAGAGGTTAAAATATGCTAGATATAATAAAGTTCAGAGATAAAGAAGCAATTTTAAAAATAAAGGTTTTAATACACAACTTTTACATGTGGACAAGTCCGTAAGCAGGGCTTTTGTAGCCGGCTAATCCTGGGCCCTTTCTTCTTTTCCCCTAAACGGTTTAAATAAATGTTTTACAACTAATTTACGGAAATGGATATTTACTATACGAATAGTAATTATGACGATAAGACACATTGAGTGTCACGCAACCTGCCGAAAGTCAGTTGTTTCTGGGACCACTTCCACTGCATGAAAATCATGTTATAATGAAGACAGGACAGTATGAGTGACATCAGTATGTATCAACCAGACTACACGGCGTCACAATCTCATGTTACGTTAGTTGCAGGCAATAGCAGTATGTGAAACAAATGAATAAGCGAGTAAGTTGGTACTCGTCCTATTACCATTTTCACCACCACAACAACAATAACATTTTATCGCGAGAGAACATACGCTACTACCACGGCGCCATACACCGTGAAATGACTACACAGAGAAACATAAGGACATAAAAAGAAAAGTTTATGATATCTGTGGTTTATTTTACGATACTGATAATGCTTCCAACTTTAAAACATGGAATGAATTAATTATGGCGGATAATGAATGGATTTGAAAGGATGTGAAATGAAGCGGTCGTGGCCTATTTGAGGTACTGCTCTGGAATTTGTATGCAGGGACTGAGGGTAAACATGATACATCTCACTCGGGATAGTCTGCGCTCCGAATGAGATTTGAACCAAGTACTTCCCGAATAAAATTCTGTAGTGTTACCGCTACACTGGCGTGTTCCGTGAAAAATAACAGAACCCCAGGATTCGGCGCCGCAAATAATGAATCCCAGCAGTGGACAAGGTCCGAACCCAGTTCCATCCACTTGCCACTCTCATAACGTATATACCCACGCGCCTTTCTTGTCTTCTCGAATCCAAATCTTCACGGCACCCAAACTTTACAATTTTCAGAATATTAAGTGACCTGTATAAACTAAGAAGCTCCTCGTCTTGTCACAGCTCAACCTGCTCACTGATTTCGTGACCTATTTGTTTCTTTTCAGATAAATTACATATGTCTTCTTCCTTCAAAATAAGAAATCATTTTCACACCCATACAAAACAAATGCAAAATAAATAAATTAACAAATAAGGTAAAGGTAAATCCATCCCTGTAACAGGTCGTGGAGGCCCATAGGGTCGTGAGACGTCGAGGCTCCCACATTTTCTACATAGTCG